ATGTGAGAGAGACACATCAATCTGTTGCCTCCCTCATGACCCCAAGAGGGAGCTGGTGATCAAACCTGTAACCCAGGTACATGCCCTTGACCAGGAACCGAACCTGAGACCCTTCAGTCCACGAACCGACGCTCTAACTACTGAGCCAAATTAGCCAGGGCAGCAAAGAGTTTTTGATGCTACTTTTAAAATAGCTTAACTTTTGCCCGGCTGGTATGGCTCAGTGGTTGAGCATCGACCCATGCACCAAGAGGTCGCCGGTTTGATTCCCAGTCAGACACATGCCCAGGTTGGGCCTGATCCCTGGTGGGGGGCATGCAGGAGGCAGCCAGTCAGTGTTCTCTCTCATCAATGTTTTTATCTCTCTCCTTCTCCCTTCCTCTCTCTCTAAAATCAGTTGTTTTAAAAAATAGCTTAACTCTTGCCCTGGCTGGGCAGCTCAGTTGGTTGAGCGTCATCCCATTCTCCAGAAGTTTGCAGGTTAGAGTCCTGGTCAGGGCACATAGCTAGTTGTGGGTTAATCCCTGCTCGGGACGCATACAGGAGGCATCCAATCCATGTCTCTCTCTCTCAAAATAATCAGTGAAAGCATATCCTTGGGCGAGGATTACATTTTTAAAAATTTTAAGTAAATAAAAAAAAATAGCTCAGCTGTTGCCTTAGACGTATTAGTCTGTGTGTGTGTTCTTTTTTAGGTCTGTGGTTATTGACATGATTGCTCTAAAACTGTAGTCAGTTCAGAATTACCCTTGAGCAGATTATTATGTTGCAATTGGCCCAATATCGCTTTCAAATTCTAATTGACATTTCCATATAATTGGAGCATTAAGTATGTTGTTGACATAAATAGAATCTTTACTTACCATCTAACTAAAACTAGAAGATAAGTCTTTTTAACCTTACAGAATCTTGATTTGAACCAGAAACTATGGTCTTTTCTTATGTTGGTAAGGGCTCAACATGAAGTTCTATGTGGAGTAGGGAACAAAGGCAAAATGGGGTAAAACTTTATAGCAAAGATCCCAACTTTGTTCTTTGTCATCCTGGGGATACATATCTATGCTAATTTCAACCAAAAATAATATTTATTTCAACCAACTGCCACTATTAACTGTTCATGGATTAGACGACTTTAGTTGTTAAGATGGTAAAACTCTCTAAATTAGTCTACAAATTCATTGCTATCCTTATCAAAAACCCAGCTGGCTTTTTTGCAGAAATTGATGTCCTGATTCTAAAATACATTTGAAAATGCAAGGGACCCAGAATAGCCAAAACAAACTTGAAAAAGAATAAATTTGGAGGACCCAGACTTCCTGGTTTCAAAACTTGGTACACAGCTATGATCATCAAGATTGTGTAGTACTGGCATGAGGCACACATGTAGGTCAGTGAGATGGAACTGAGAGTCCAGAAATAAACCCGTGCATTTTGGCCAATTGAGTTTTGATAAGGCTGTCAGGACAATTCAATTGGGGAAAAATAGTCTTTTCAACATATGGGGCTGGCTCAACTAGATATTTATATGCCAATTATGAAGTTGGACCCCTACCTTATACCATATATAACAGTTAACTCAAAATAGGAATTAACCTAAAAATAACAAAGACTATAACACTCTTAGAAGAAAATAATAGGGGTAAATCTTTGTAACCTTGTATTAGGCAATGTTTCTTAGATACAACACCAAAAACACAAGCAACAAAAGAAAAAATAGGTAAGTTGAATGTCATAAAATTTAAAACTATTGTGCTTCAAAGGGTACATCAAGAAAGTGAAAAGACAGCCCACAGAATAGGAGAAATATTTGCAAATTAGATATAGGATAAGGAATTTGCATAAGATTATTTAAAGAACTCCTACAACTTATTAATAAAAATTTATGTAACTAGACATTTCTCTAAAGAAGATATACAAATGGCCCTTGCCAGTTTGGCTCAGCAGTTAGAGTGTTGGCCCACAGACCAATAAGTCACGGGTTCGATTCCGATCAAGGGCACATAGCTCAGTTGAGATTTGTCCCCGGCTCTGGTTGGGGTCCTGCGAAAGGCAGCCACTCGGTGGTATGTCCCTTTCAGGTCCGATGTTTCTCTCTCCCCTTCCCCACTCTATTTGAACAACAACAACAACAACAAAATGGAAAAATGACCTTGGGTGAGGATAAGAAGAAAAACAAAAGATTTACAACCATTCAATTATCACACGAAAGGATGCTCAGTGTCACTAGACATTAGAAAAATGCAAATCAGAAATCACTTCACACCCAAAAGGACGGCTAACATTTTTTTTTAAAGGATAGTGTTGGCAAGGAGACAGAGCAATTGGAATCTTCATACATTGCTCTGGGGCTATGGAAATAGTATAGTAGTTTCTCAGAATATTAAGCATAGAGTACCCAACAGTTCCATTCCTAGGTTTATTCCCAAGTGAATTGAAAACATGTGTCTACACAAGGACTCATTTTCCCTAACATTATTTCATAATTGACTACTATTTCAAATGTCCATAGCAACATTTTTCATGATCAGCAAAAGGGCAAGCAAAGGCCCATCACGTTGAATGGGTGAACAAAATGTGTGTCTACACAGTGAAATATCATTTGGCCATAAAATGGAAGGAATTGCTGATACATGTGCAACATGGACGAGTCTTGAGAAAATAATACTACATGACAGAAGCCACATATCTTATGATTATGTTTATGAGAAATGTTCATAATAGGCAAATCCTTAGAGACAAAAGCAGATTGATTGCCTGGGGCTGGGGGGTGATGAGGAATGAGGGCTAATAGGTATGACGATCCTTCTAGGGGCTTTGAAATTGTTCTGAAATTTGTGGTGATGGCTGCAAAACTCTGAAGAAGCTAAAAATGACTGAACTAACTGTACATTTTAAAAAGAAGAATTTAATGTTATGTGGATTATATCTTAACAAGGCTTTTATAAGGGGGAAAAAAAAAGTAGGTCGTAAGGCCCAGGCAAGCCCTTGGAGGATCAGAGCCGAGGCCCCGAGGACACCTTGACTCCTCCCGTGTGGTCCCACCCAGAGCAGCCCAGACAGCTGCTTCTGTACCTCTGACCCTCAGGAAATGAGAGACAATGTCTGTTTTTTTAATCCATTAAATTTTGGAATAATTTATTGGCAGCATTTGAAAACACACACAGTAGCACTCAGCTCATCTACCATGAACATTTCTAAAGGAAGACTGTGTGTTATGTGCTTAATATGTAGAGGGCAGGACGAATCCTCACCCTTCATGGAGCTCCCTTTGGGGTGAAAGAGGCAGACACGTTAATGATTTTGGCATAGATGTAGTCATCAGATGTTCTGATATGTGTGATAACCACAAATGCAAATAGTGTGTTAAATTGTCTTCCTAATGTTTTTGTAACTGCCCAACCCTGTATCTTTTCTATGTAACATATACCTAGCTCTTCATAAGAATATGAATATTCCAAAGTTTTCAAAGACATTCATCTTTTAAGATTTGGTGACTTAAACTAAAAAGTGTTCTTTATTTCTTTATTTTTTTTTTAATCCTCACCCGAGGACATTTTTGCATTTATCTTCAGATAGCGCAGTAGGGAGAGAGGGGTGAAGACAGAGAGAAACGTCAATGTGAGAGAGACACATCAACTGGTTGCCACCCACACAGGGCCGGGACAAACTGCAACCGAGGTACATGCCCTTAGAGGGAACCGAACCCGGATCTCTCTGAACTGCAGGCCAACGCTCTAACTGCTGAGCCAAACCAGCTATGGTTAAAAAGTGTTCTTTAATCTTAATAGGGTTTTCTTTCCTTTCCTTATCTCTGTGGGGAAGAGAAAACAATTATATGAAAAAAAATCTATGTAGACCAAGTCCTTCACAAAATTACCAGTCCCTATATGAAATGTTGCTACTCAGTCTAAAAGCTAAATACATTTGTTTTGGGTTTTGTTTTGTTTTGTTTTGTTTTCACTCATTTCACTATGACAAACTGCTTAAGTTGTGGCTCTGTGTCTTGTTTTCTTCAAAATATTAACCTCCTTTTGTTGTGGCCAACACTCAACTCACCTGTTGACTTTTGTTGTTGAAAGGGTGTGCTCAAATCTAGCAGTGCTTGTCTGCAGGGGCGAGGTTGGTAATGGGTCATTCTCCACGTGGTTTGTTGTTTCATTGAAACCCAAGTCCATGGCTAAAGCTATCTACCTGTGACCCTGCTTCTGAAGAGTAGTGCATCTGCAGAATCCCTTATTCAAGTACCGTTCCAAAGCCCAACAGCGAACTGGTGTCTTCCATTAGTAAGAGTCTATCAGGTGTGCTTTCTGGAATCTGCTCTCTCCTCTCTGTGACATCCAGCTCAGCCTTGCCACTGTCCTGGAGCAAAGGGCCTCTCGTCAGTGGGAGAGTCTTACCACTCCGCGGTGGGAAAGTGTTTACCGTTTTAGGAATTAAATGGTTCGTTTGGTTTCTCTGTGATGAAGATCACTCTCACAGTCCAAGTCGCATAACCAACGCAGAGCTCCGGATTTCTTTGTCTGCAATATTCCTATTTCACTTCTGACAGAAGTGACCTTGCCAGGCAGCATTTTCTTCCCATGGATTTTGCTTTCTTTAGGTTTTAGTGTCACTGGGGGAGGGGGTGCAAGCAAGTACAGTACATTAAAGCTAATACATCACCACCTGCCAATGGCACTTCCCCTTGGTACCCCTTTGCCTTGCTGATTGAAAACATTCAGTCCCAAAAGCTTATGGTTGAGTAGCAGGAAGCTAAATGATGTATTCCAAAGCTCTTAACATATTGCCTTGTGTAAATGGCCCATTTGAGTATTTCAGAAACCAAACGGGAGAGAAAAGAACATTGAAAGCACTGAAAAGTTTAACACCTGTTTCCAGTCTTCAGAGAAACTGGAGCATACTGTATATAACCATTCACTCGTGCATGACGAGGCATTTTATTCAAATTTCCAATTTTATATGCATAGCATCCACATGCTTATGGGGTTGTTTCTCTACAGGATTCCACACAAAACTTGGAAGATGGAGAAGTCATGAATGGTGTACAGACAGAACTACTGACATCGCCAAGAACGAAGGACGCACTGAGGTATTCTTTTCAAGTGAATGGAGTATTTTCTTTCCATTCAGTGTCTGTTCCTTCAACAGTTTATAGTTGTTTTTGTTTTATAGAAAGATCAAGATAATTAGAATAGTGGAGTGAAACCTGTCCCAATTCTAAAGTTAATTATTTAATTACTCTTTTCTCTCGTATTCTCTATGTGACACGAGAGTTTTCTGACATAGGTACAAATGAGTCTCAATCCTCCAATTCTTCTGCAGCCTGGATTCCTTAATAGATTTTCTCTTCTCTTTGAACAACAGTAGAAAGTACACCTTCCAGCCCTGGCCAGTTTGGCTCAGCAGTTAGAGCATCGGCCTGCAGTCCAGAGAGACCCGAGTTCGGTTCCCGCTGAGGGCACGTACCTCGGTTGCCCCGGCCCTGGTTGGTCATGGGGGTGGCAGCCACTCGATGTGTCCCTTTCACGTTGATGTTTCTGGTTTCTCTCTCTCTCCCTCCCACTCTATCTGAACAAAAAATGGAAGAAAAAATCCTCAGGTGAGGATAAAAAAAAAAAAAAAAGAAAGTACACCTTCCAGGGTTTATTTTGGCTGCGTGTTTTACTTCGACATTAGCTCTTTGAATATTGTTTTGCATTGTGTTTTAACAATTTTGCAATATTTTATTCGACATATATAAAATGAATGCTACCTATAAATGAAGATTTTTCTTTTTTTTTTTTTTATTCCTCACCCGAGGATATTTTTCTATTTATCTTCAGATAGAGTGCGAGAGAGGGAGACAGAGAGAAACATCGACATGAGATACACCGATTGGTTGCTTCCTACATAACCCTGACCAGGGCCAGGGACAAACCGCAACCAAGGTACGTGCCCTAGGACCGGAATCGAACCTGCAACTCATTGGTCTGCGGGCCGATGCTCGAACAGCTGAGCCGCACCGTCCAGGGCTCTCATGTTTAAATGTAAGAAACAGTACATGAAGCCCGTTGCTCCATGTTTACCAGCACTTCTTTTCTCTGCGCTCCTGTGCGGCCCGCCCTGGCCGCCGCTGGTTCGCTTCCCAGCCTCGCTGCTTACAGTGCCGGCCACTCATCGCTCTTTGCCTTCCTTGCTGATCTGTAACCAGACATAGCATCAAATCCTTCAGAGGATGGGTATGAAGATTAAATGAGTTAATAAAGGTAATGCACTTTCAACAGTGCCTGGATCAGAGTAAGCCCTGGGAGTATTTGCTACTGTTGCTACCATTATACTGTTATTATCATTATCATTGTCATCATCATGTTAGTATCATTTTTAAGTTGCTTTAAATTTTGCATAAGGAAAGGAATTCATATTTAATAGCTTGTTGGGTTCAGCGCTAGAAAGCGATGCTTCTGGAGTTGATGGTCACTCATTTAGCCAACATTCCTTTAATTCAGCCCGGTTACTAATAGGTTCCGAGCATTGTACATGGCATTAGCTGTAAAAAAAACATATGTAATCATCTTTCATTATGCTGCTTTACTGTGTAGATTTTCCTCGAGCTTGTAATTTATAGCCATACGACATAGTTACTCTTTATATAGGTTGTGTCTTTGATTAATGAGCTGCACAATAATAAAAATTTGGAACAGAAAATCTCCAGAGCCCTGTCTTTCTAGAAGCTTGATAAGATGGTTTTTGGAGATAGAAACAATGAATATAATACTCTTATTCTGTTTAACTTTAATTTCACTTTTTTTTAAATGTTAGCTTTTTGAAGTTTGCTAACATCTTGGTTAAATGTTATGTGGATAGCTGTCCTAGAGTGGACAATTGTTTGGTTTACGGCTGCATAAACAAATTAGTGAAGCTTTTGCTAGGTACAAGGAATTGAAAGAAATGGAGTTTAGGAGTTTAAAAAAATAATATTCTTTAATTAAAATATATGTATTATATTTTATCAAAACAACCTTTCCCATGAGTTTGTCATCATGTTTAATAGGCTAAGAAATTGCAAAGTTCAGAGCAATTAAGTAACCTCTAGAGACCCAATCTATATCACTCTTGTCCCAAATCTTTTGACCAGTGTTCCCTGCTCTGTGTACCTTCTCGGACGAGGAGGATCTTAACATCATGGAACACAGCTAGCAGGGCAACTTGGAGGTTCCCGTTCCAGGAGAGGACATTGGTTCTGGCCAGGATGGGATGATGACGAAACAACTGAAGAGAAATTATGAAGCCACTTACAGCTGAATTACCTGGTCAGCATTCTCCTAGGGCAAGGAGGTCTGATATCCCACAGAAGTTGGCCTGAGCATAGGACTTTGGGCTGACTTCCCTGCTGGTGGCATAGAAGTTAGATAAATTGTTTGCTGAGTTCATCTCTAAATGTCTTGAACTCATTCTTATGTTTTAATTCCCATAGTTATTGCTCAAGCCTTTGTTACTTCTTAGCTAGGCTATTATAATAACCAACTAACTCTTCTCTCCTTATTCTAATTGATCACACAATTCACTGTTGGGTAAAATATAAGCTATTATTTGAGGCAGTGCTAATTATATTCTGGGCATTATAACTTGTACTCATGTCAAATCTATAAATACTACATCACTTCTATTTTACAGATAAATAAACTGATGCATTTTCTAAATCACATAACTTATCAAACCATTCCTAGGGCCCAAACCTTTGGATATAGTTGAGTCCTGAGTTTGAATACTACCCATGTAACCATGGGCTAATGATTTAACCTTTTAAAAATATTTTTAGTATAGAAAATGGGTATCATAATCATATAGATTACTGTAAAGATTAAGTGACATACATTATAGGCAATTGCTCTTAGCATAATGCTAAATGAAAGGCTGAATAAACAGTAATTGCTATTGCAATTATCATGACCACACACACTACAGTTTATTGTAACTATTTGTCATTCTTTCAAACAGGACTATGGACCCACCAAGGTGTTCCTGACACCCAATATAGGTCTTGGAACAAAATAGCAGCATATTTGTTGACTGAATGGATAAAATACATTGCTTCATAAATCATAAACATAACTATTAACTACTTACCCATAATTAACACAAACACTTTCATTTACAGAAAAATAACACTTCGAGGGTAGTCTCCAAATAGTCTTACAACACCTATCTCTGATGAAACACCATTTAATTTATTTTGATTTTAAGAAGACAGTGAAGCAAGAGGTATCTAGTGGCTTGCTTTCTTATATATAAAATTACACTTTAGCTTCCCTTTAAATAGCAAGTGATGGGTGGCAGAGACCTTCACCTTGTCCCTAAATTCTCTCTCATTCCCAGCCTTACCTTACTGCTTGGCACTTTCCGCATGCGCCCCCTCCAGACTTCCTCTTTCCAGGCCTGACCTGCCCCCACGTTTTATCCCCTCTCTCCCTGGCCTCTATTTCCATTCATTTGGCAAATCCTTGGCGGAGTCCATCTGAGAACAGCTTGTGCCTTTCCCCGTGTTTTCATGCTGCGTTCCTGTCATCGCTGCTCAAGCCCTCTTTCCCGTCAGGTAGATGATTGCAACAATTTACTAATTCCCGTCTCCAGCACCAATCTCTCCTTGTCTTTCCGTTTTCTAATTGATCACACGTATCGCTGCCAGGTATATATATCTAAACCACAGCATTCATCACACCACTTCTTAGTTCTAAAATCTGCAGTGACTCCATTTTCTACAACATTAAGTGTGAATTTTTCAGCGTGGAATTTGACATATCGCTCTGAGATTTGATGTCAAACTAATGGTTCAGCTTAATCTCCTACCCACCACAATCAGTCAATCAATCTCTCTTTCTCTTTCCCTTCTCACCTTCTCTTTCCCTCGCTCTCTCCATCCTCCCTTCCACTTCTCCCCTCTGGCCCCAGTTTGTGCGCCCGCACCATCCTGGTGCACAGTCTCGGTGCAGACTGATTTTCTCTGTGCATGCCCTCTCTGTGCCCTCTTGCCTACCATTTTCTTTTCTTTTTTTTTTTTATCCTCACCCGAGGACATTTTTCCATTTTTGTTCAGGTAGGGGGGGGAGGGGGCAGAGGAACAGAGAGAGAGAGAGAAACATCGACGTGAAAGGGACACATCGAGTGGCTGCCACCCGCACAACCGACCAGAGCCGGGGACAAACTGCAATCGAGGTACGCGCCCCCAGCGGGAACCGAACCCGGGTCTCTCAGGACCGCAGGCCGACGCTCTAACCGCTGAGCCAAACCGGCCAGGGCTTGCCTACCATTTTCAATGAAGATCCATTTGCTGTTCTCAGTTCCATCTCAAATGCAACCTCCTCCCAGAAGATTTTCCTGATACCAGCTTCCCTTTCTGATCCTGTTCCTCTTCCTCTGACCCTCATCAGAAAGCCCTTCCACTTTGAAACATGTCACGGTGGTTTAGAACCACTACTCTGGAATGCAGTACATTCCAATTTGAGTCCTGACTGTACCTTTTATGAATGATGTGATGTTAGATAAATTATTTAATCCCTCTAAGCATCAGTGTAGTTATCTATAAAATGGAAGTGATGCAAGCTTTTATACATTTGATATGAGTGCATGTTATAATACCCAGAATGCAGTTAGCACATGGCATCCCACGTAACAGCTTACTTCCGCTGAGAATAGACCACTATTACTACTACTTCTGCTTTATTGTATTGTATTGTTTTTATTACCTATCTCAACCTGCCTCCTGGATTATGAACGCCTCAGGCCCTTGGTTTTGCCCTTGCAGAACTTCCCCGTTGGAACTTCTCAATTAATGTTTGTTGAATTCAAGTGAATTGTGTAAATCCCACCACCATCAACAAGTTCTTTGTTAGATGTTTACTCAATATATTTGCATCAACAATGCATTTCCCGTCAGGTAGACCTCATGTCACATGCAAGCACTTCTTGGCTGTTTGTGTCCTGGAGTCCATCGCCCCACCACTGGATATGACAGATCTGTGCATCAGTCCCGGAAGAACACCGACTGCCGCCTCCTCTCCGCTTATTACAACCCTTTGTCTTCTCTCTCCCGCCAGCAGTCTAAGCGTGAAACTGTTCCTCAGCCCTACAGGATTTAAAGATTTTTTTTAAGTCTTACTGAGGAAGTCAGTTGAGAAAAATTGTAAAGCTTGAAATAGGTTATTCCCTTTTAATCTAAAACCATAACTGCAGAAAGTTCTGATAATCGTACTAATAGCTGATAGTTACTGAGCCCCTTGTATATACCAGATACTGACATGTGATGGATATACATTAGCTCCTCTATTTTTTTTTCTTTAAAACCAATAACTCTACTAGAGATTTATCTTAATTTCCTCGTTGTACAAATAAGAAAACAGGTGCTTTTGGTCTTAGTTCAAATGATTTACTCCAACACCTGCCTTAACGTCACCATTAGGACATACTTCCTGTCCAGTTTCACAAGTGAATCATTATTTCCGTCTGAAACAAAGTGTCTCCCCATTCCTACCCTCAGTCCGTCTAGTTCTTGCAGAGTGGCCATTTGTAACAGGCTCATGTTAACCAGATTCTGTTCCTTCTCCCTTCCCTTGGTCCTCAACTCGCACATAGGTAGCAGCTGGTTCCCATGATTATTGAATCAGCTTTGTCAACTGGATGTTAGAAGGTCTCGCTGCTTAATACTATTGGACTCAATGCTTTGTGTGTACTTCTATGTTAGTGTGCCATAGAAAGTTGTGTCAAGGTAGCTATTTTGACAGTAGTGAAGTCTTTCAACTTTTCTTTCTATAACTGAAATATTTTCCTTTACCCCACAGTTCATCTTTTTCTGTTTTTCACAAGGAGAGCCAATCTTATTTTCTTTGTACTGCTAGGATATCCTCTTCACCGCATTTTCTACATTTTCCATCCTCAGCCCCCCGGCCCTCCATACATAAATAAATGTGTGCATGTCCTGCTCACTGGTCTCTAAACTCGACAGCATAATTTATCTAAACAAATAGCACTATAGCATATTTTCACTTTGCAATACATTGTGTGCAGCCCTACTTGCTGTGTTGGTCTTCCACGAACTCTGTTTCTGTCAAACTCTATCAAGTGTATATAACACGGAGGGTTGTTTGGTGTTGCTGTTGTTTTCTTTTAAAAATAAATAAAAATCTATGAACTGGTCTCTGAGGCCTTATTTATTTATTTATTTATTTATTTATTTATTTATTTATGTTTTTCGATAGAGTGGGAGGGAGAGAGAGAAAGAGAAACATCGACGTGAAAGGGACACATCGAGTGGCTGCCTCCCGCATGACCCAACCAGGGCCAGGGACAAACTGCAACCAAAGTAGGTGCCCTATGTGGGACCGAACCTGGTTCTGTCTGGACCGCAGAGCCCTCTTCTTTTAAAATGCTTTTCTATCTTGAAACAAATAATGGATAACAATTTGTAAAGTGCATGGTGAAACATGGTCTGTATAAACTTGTAATGCTCGTTTGTATTAAATAGATTGAATTCTCTATAAGTGCCTGCATATTACAATCGACAAAATTGAAAGTCTTGTTTTTTCTAGTATAATAATATTTTCATGATAATAATTTAACTGTTGTCAAACATCCATCAAGCCAAAAATTGTGCTGTCATGTATAGAGATAACATAAAAATGTATTCCGAATTATTGAACTAGAAAATCTTATAAAGTAGAAATAAATCTTAAAATGCATCCTCCAGAAAAGTTTCAGTATTTGAAACAAGCGTGATCACTTTAACAGACTGTAAGATTTCCTTTATTACATGAATGTAAAAATACAGGACTGATTATTTCTAAAGAGCAGATATTGGTGCAATATGTAGAACTTAAGTTTACACAAGGGATTTTGAGTAAGGTAGAGAAATATTTGCAAAATAGGAAAAAAAAAAATGAGACTCCATAAAGCCGTTCTAAAACTTCTTAAGCTGAATCTTGAAGTCTATACTAGACTAAACACTTACATTCCAAAAACCTTTCTATAATACATATGAGTGCTATCTTTCAGCATTTGGACACATAATACATTTATTAGGAAAGGTAAGTGTTATGCTCTAAGAGGAAAACTATAAAAATATACCATAAAGGTAGAGATAATAAAGTTTCAATGGTTAAACAAGATTTTAGTGTCTGTTTTTTAAAGTCTTTAAAAAAGAGTATTGTAACCCTAGAATGTGAATGTTTTAGGTTTAGTCTTCCTCAAATACCTTCAAATGTACTGTATATCTGTTATTATATAAAATGATTGCCCTGCCCTGGCCAGTTTGGCTCAGCGGTTAGAGTGTCGACCTGCGGTCCGGAGAGACCCGGGTTCGGTTCCCGCTAAGGGCACGTACCTCGGTTGCAGTTTGTCCCCGGCCCTGGTTGGGTCGTGTGGGTGGCAACCACTCGATGTGTCCCTTTCACGTCGATGTTTCTCTCTCTCTCTCTCCCTCCCACTCTATCTGAACAAAATATCAAAAAATTTCCTCGGGTGAGGACTAAAAATAAAATAAAATAAAATGATTGCCTTGTGGTCCATTAAAAGCTATATAACATTTTCTGCCCACCAAACAATGTACATCCATGACTTATACTACATACCTTCGTATAGTATTTTATATACATATATTCATATAATGTCTACATTCTTATACAGAAAGTACAGAGAAGAATCTATTTTATCCCATGATATTATCACTCTAAGATTTGTTTTATTTCTCTCTTTTATTCCGGGCATCTGCTGTAACCTGCTTGACTGAACAAGTTTTAAATATATCAGCAATATCTGAGCAAAACTCATTTGAAATGTATTATCAGGTTTGAAATTCCATCATAGTCCACAAATGTTAGAAACTGACTTGCTCTTTTTTTTTTGCAGTTCTTAATGATAATAGGTTTGCAATGAAAACACATTAAAAATAAGCCTAATCCACTGATGAGACTATATTTAATGTATTTATTTTAGATTGCTGATAATTTAGAGAATACTTCATGCAGAGAGTTCATCAGGCATTTTGCTGTCTTACTGCTGCTCTCAACTTTCCAGCAAGGAACCAAATTTCACCATTTTCAATTTGAGCAGAAAGGCATTTGTAGCAGCTGTAGCTCTTAATTTGACATCTAGTTTCAGGTCATTTTTATGTAAATAGAAAACAATAGAAACCTGCTTACAATTTCCATAACTGGGATGTTTGCTTCAACTTTATCATTTTTCCTCTGGCAATTTTATTTTCTCTCTGGGATTAAAGGAGCCAATAATTGTTCACGGTTATTATTTTCCATCTTTATAAAAACGTGTTAGTTCCACTTTTTATTACTCCAAAGCTCCCAGTGTCTTACATATTTGAGTCATACACAATATCCATCAGTGTTCCTAGCTCCTCCTTTTCTTAATCTGGACTAGGTTAGGCGGGTCAGGCTCTCGATTTCTTTCTGTAATACATTTTCTCCAGGCTTTGCAACCTTTCTTTTTCTACCTCTAAAAAAATACAGAGGTGAAAATTTGGAATTGTTCCATTGACTACAACTGATGCCTTATTAAAAGGAAACTTTAAATTTTGATTTATAATGTTTTGAACATGCCCATATGTATTACCAACTGTGGCTTCACAGTGGTTGTGAATCTCATTCTATTCTTTTTCTAATAAATACATATTTTTTCCCCTGTTTTGGGGGAAATCATACTTTACGATTAAGCATAGATGTACTTAGTTCTATGTATTTTATCATCTGTACAGTGATTTTCAAGTGTGTCTCAATGGGGAGAAATTTTTTGTATACATCCTTTTAAATATGTTGATTTATGTAGATTAAATAGGAAGTTATTTTTGTAGGTAGTCATTTCCATTTGTTCCTCTTCTAGGGGAAAAATAAGAAATCAGATACTCTTGGAAACATTTTATTTCCCGAATCTTCTCAACCTTATCAGGAAACCATGTACTCCTTCAATTTTCTCTCTGCTGTTACATTTATAGTAGTTGACGTAATCCTAAAATAAGTATGTGTCTCGTGTGTGTGTGTGTGTGTGTGTGTGTGTGTGTGTGTGTGTTTTAAGCAGACACTCATCTGTGCTCTTATTTTTTTCTGCCCCAGCGATATGACAAGAACAGTGGAGATTTCTGCCGAAGGAGGCCCCTTGGGAATCCATGTGGTGCCCTTCTTTTCATCTCTGAGTGGAAGGTAAGGCACTTCTCTTCCATCAGAAGCTCATGCTAATGAAAAACTTCACCAGAGCTCATTTTTCTCAAGCATTTTTCAGAAGAGGATTAAGTGTGTATCTTTGTTATTCAGATAGATACCTCAACATAATACTTCTATTGGCCACTTATGTGTTAGAAAGAAAACAAAATCATTTATTTCTAAGTTGCAAGGGAAAAGAAAAACACCAATCGCAGTTTCTGTATTTACGATTAATCATGAAGTACTTTCTTAGGGTGCTCCTATTAGAATTACGTAGTAAACACAATCTTTAGAAAAGATTTTAACATATGGTTAGGTGAATATTACAACTGAATTTTTTTAATATTCTAAAATACACTTCAACAAGTGAATATAGTAATTCCAAACTGATATTTCCTGATATTCCTCAGGAATATAGACTTTAGAATAGTAAATAGTACCACATTATAAGTAATGACATCAGAAGCTGTATATGTATTGACAATGTTAGCTATAGTAGCAAAATGCCATCATGCTATTTACTTTTTAAAAAAATGAGATATGATCAATTAAAACTAATTTACCACATCCATTCAAAATTTTATATTGCTAATTTTACACTAGTAAAGGGTAATTTAGATTATGTTAACAGTTCTTGAAATTAATGTCTACCTAACTGGATACTGATGGACATTAAATGTGTACCTGAGAGCTAACATTACTACTGCTATAGCAACCACGCAGAAGTAGCATTAGATAACTATGTCACTTTTCAACAATATGACTGCTTTTGGCACTACATTTATATCGGCAAGGACTAACAAAAACTTGGAAGAAAATCAGTATCTCATAGGACATGATTTAAAGTAGTTTGCTAAATTCGTTTTCTTAAGTGCATCATCGAAAAGGCAGACACCTCATTTTAGCATAGGAGACCAAAGACCAAAAAAGCGCGTTGATTTTCTCAAGGTCACACGAAATCCGGATCTCCTGACTCGCTCTGCCTCCATTGCTCTATCTGAAATAGACATTTTCCCCAAGGTTATATAGTATTAATTTACTGGTTCTGAATATTTATTCGATTCAGTCTGCCATGTAGCTCGAAGAGCAGATTTAGTCATGATATTTTGGTTGGCATCGTTTTCAGCAGGTAGCCATCTGCTACCTCTAATTGCAAAGTCATCACCTTTTTTCTGCAAATAACATCTGATGCCAAGCTGTTGCTGGAATGAATGTTCCCTAAAAAGAAATGAACTGAAAAACTAGTGACTCTTATTGTCTCATTTCCTGTATGTGTTAATAAGCGTGTTTATAAATGTTACGGGTGATGGCACACGACAAGCTGAGGTTGTTTTTGATAGACAGGGAGAGTCTTCACCCAGTTGTCCTGAGAAAGTCTAATGGCTTTTGGCAGAAGGGCAGTGATAGAGCTTCCTGCAGTACCAGAGGGTTAAATTAGCAGGCCCGTTAGCTTAATGAAGCTGGGATAGAACACAAGATTATCCCAATGTCCAAAACATGAAGAAATAGACAATGTGACAGTCACCATACTTCATTTTCAATAGTTTGGAAAACAAGTTGACCCTATAGACCAGAAATCACCTTCTCTCACTTCAAATGAAGAAAACACACTGGACTGTATTGACTGCCCCCTTTCCTTCCTGGTCTTGATTTCTAGCATAAGCCATGTAGACCATGGACAGAGTGGGGCCTGGATTCAGAGCAACTGGATTTGAATCTCAGTGTTCTCTTTTGCCTAACTGTGAGCAGGCCTCCTAAATGTGCCTCGTGTGAATACCTATTTCCCATCAAGGTTTTGAGGATTAAACGACATTAAACATGTGAAAGCTTCTTGTAAAACACACACCATGTGAATGTGTGAATTAGCAGTATTATTATTATTATGGCTGAAACAGAAAAGCTTAGTTCAACAGTGAACTTTTATAAGTTCATGGTCAACTGTTCAGTAACTTGGTGAACTAGTTGTGTCATTTTTTTCTATTCACTAGTATTATAGAAAGGAAATTTAATTAAAAAACTTAAAAAATAATATGGAAGTGGAGACATGAGCCAATAAAAGTTAAGAAGTAATGAGTACAGGCTGAAACAGCACAGTTAACTCAACCCATGTGTCTAGATGCAACTGCGTATAGAGCGTGTCAGACAAGTGTCTGACTTCATCACGCCATATGGTTTCACTGTGCAGCGGGGGCAGGGTGAGTTAAGGTCATAGTGGTATACTTAGTTCTTAATTTCCTTCCATTTATTGGTTTGTGTCATTATTTTAAATTAGAATTTACATTTAATTATTTACTTGGACTACTGTAATTAGCTTTGCCTCCATTTTTTTTTTTTTTTTTAAAGAAAAAGACTGCTACACCTGTTGTTGAATTAGAAACCTAATCTAAGTGAGAACACCCTGAGTACAGTATGGTGGCTGTTGTGTTAGATAAAGCCTTGATGGAGTCATTAGCTATCAGACAGAGCTCAGGGTGCTAAATGCTGCTTGGATGGAGGGCCATTGTCTTGCACAGTGAAAAACAAAACAAATATGCAAAAAACTCATTCAGGCAGGTAAAAAGCAACCTGATTTCATTTTTTTTTAAAATCAACATGGTTTTGTTTTACAATTAAAAACATGGAATCTAACTGTTTGTTAGGAAATAAACGTAGTACAGCTCAGTTTCCTGGTAAGGATAGCCAAGCAAGAGGGAGAAGGGAGGGAGGGGCACAGCGTGACACCAGGTGAGGGAGCAGACGTTTACCTGAAGTGCTCAGCCAGCAGAGTGGTCAGGCCCGTGGGACAGTGGGCGGACTGGACGGCGGTGAGGGAGGGAGTGGGTGAGTGCCTCCCCCTGATTACCCTCTGATTCTGGGGGACAGAGGACTTCAGCCTCCTCTATCACTGCTCATTAATGCAGATCAGCTGCTTTATCTCAGCTTACACCTCCTTGGCAGCATGAATCTCCAGCCTGAGGGCCCTGGTCTAAAAGGAGACAGCGGCCCCACCAGTCCGGGGCAGAGTGGATCCAGCAGGATCCTTTTCTGAGCCTTCTCAGGCCGGTCTGGGTGAAGTAAACTGGGGGGGATCCATTCCTGCCACGGAATGGAGAAGGCAGGAGTGGTTTGCCAGGGACCGAGCTAATAAAATCAGTCAGTTTTACATTTTACCAAAATTGCCCCTGACACATGGCTTTTAGAGTTGGGCTTATACCGTCAATAAATTTTTCATGGGAAGTTGGGTTATTTAGATCGGTGAGGGTCACACAGCATACTCCAGCTGTAACGTGCCAGCTAAATTGCAGCCCAGTGGCCTGAAAGAATTAATTCATCTCCCAAAATGTGAAATTAAATCCTAGGGAGTAACATTACATGACTGATGATGTACTGAATTAAATTAAAGAAGACTTGAATGCTTGTTAAGAAAATATCACTTACATAAACCAGTTTATAACCACATGTGAGTATTCTAATGGGTCGTGTTATTGGGAGTCCATCATAACAAAAATCCAAAATGCGAACTAGTAGAGAGTTGTTAAATTTAGGGGGGGAAAGCACGACTTTGTTCTTTCTTTTCTTTTATATTTTCGCATATCAAATACTTCATTTTTTAATATTATGTTAGATTAAGGTAGGATTAGTATCTTAAAAATATTCATTTGACTCTCAGATCCTTTATCAAATAGCCACATTGGCCCCCTCTCTCTTCCACACAGAACGCGATTAATTTACTAACCTACCAAACTGGGAAATGAGGCGCAGCCCCTCACCCCACTCTGGGCCCGTGAACCTGAGCCTCCCCGCAGTGCAGTGTGACTACGGGCTGATCTCTCTCACGCCCGCACACTGGATCCATTCACTTTTCTGAAGCAGAGATATGGGTGTCACCGCATGCGCCCCTCCTGCCATCGTCTTGCGATGACGTGAGCTCAGTAAGCCAACTGCAGAAGCTCCATGTTGTGGCTCTTCCACACAGGAAGATGGTTTTTCTCCTCCACATGTGTTAGCGACGGCCCCTCCTCCATGGCTGACCCTATTATTCACGCATAAAGTGTGTCATATTTTATTTAGATTTGCAATGTAATGCAGAGGGACCGTGTGAAGGCACACGAGACCCCATACGAAGGAGAACAATGAAGAAAAACCACAGGGTAGGGAAGAGGAGATGGCAGCTTCCCCACACCCAGCACCCTCTCGGAGAGGATGTTTCTTTCCTACTGTGGGACACAGCCAGGACCCTGACATGCCACAGGGAGAAGGGACGTCCCTCAAATGAGAAATAGCTAGAAGAGACACAAGTTTAATATCTTCTAGTTTTTTGTTTAGATACTACTAATATATAACAGATTTACACACATACACACATAACATTTAATTCCTTATTTCCATTGCTGTCATTTTCTTTCTCCTTTCCTTTCTTTCCAGTCCCCTCCCCTTCTGACTTTAGCCACAACCACAAAGCACCAGGAGCCCCCATGTGTCCTATCTGAACTGAACTCTGCCTGGCCAAAATTTCAGACACCTCTTCCCAAAGCCCAAAGCCCTGCCGTCATCATGTCACGGCCTTGCTCAGAAGCAGTGGGTGGTGGGCGTATCACTGCAGCCTCATCAGACTAAGTCCATCAGCAAGTGTCTGGCTCCTCCCTGTGGCCCTGGCCTCCCCGGTCCGGTGTGAGCTCCCTGCACCGCTCCTCCCACAGGCCAGCTCACACAAACACTCACGTCCTGCCTCGGGGACATTCTCTCCTCCCTTCCAAATCCTACTCATCCTTCTGATCCGGGTTACACCCCACTCTCTCCCCATTTTCTTCTATGAAGAATCTAGCTTATCGACTTATCCAAATTTTAAATTTCTACTTTACTCTAAGCCTGTACTGACCAATTGTCCTGGTCCTACGACCGTGTCCCATACTCCTCCATCCTGGACACGGAAAACACTCAGCACATGCTTGATCAGTGGCACTAAGAAATGGGACCGAACTGCTTCCAAACTGAGCAATAATATCTGTGCTTAAATGTTTACTTCTTAAAATGCAAACTTATGGGACAGATAGTAAGACTGCAAAACCAATTACAGTGAAGAACTAATCCTCTCCTGTTACTAGCCATCCAGTTGCCGCTTGGCACTAACTCCGCTTATGGCAGTCAGCTCTGATGCCCTTTGCCAAACGACGACTCCTTTGTGTCCCAACCGTACCGAGCTACACGAGCCTTTTCTTAGCTTACTACAAACATTAGAAATCGGATCGTAGGTTCATGTACCCTGGGTAGGTGTTTATGTATATTTGACTCGAAGGGATTCTTCCCTTTGAGTGAGTGGTGTTTTTTGGTCTTTCTTTTAACTAAAGATTCAAGTAAAAATAAGTTGCCTAAATATAAAACATAATTTTTTTCATAAATAGAAATCCACATTTACTCTGAATAGTGGCAAGTGGGGAACTAGCACATCATTGTCCAGTAATTCTCTTTCAACGTAAATTTTGCATTTAGGATCCTAGGACTCTTCATTCGCGGCATCGAAGAAAACAGCAGGTCCAAGCGGGAAGGACTTTTTCATGAAAATGAATGTATTGTAAAAATCAACAATGTGGACCTCGTAGACAAAACCTTTGTTCAGTAAGCATATTTTTTTCCATGGTTTTATTTACTGTATCGATCCCTAGAATGTTTCTCATCATTATGATAAAAATTCTAGGTAGAATTTCTGCCAATTCCCTTTGAATGACCGCGGAGTGCCCATTTTTAATTGCACCTTATATTCTAGTACGCAGGGGTGGCCTGCACATGTCCCCGACAGCCCAGGAATGGTCAGCTGCAGGATGGAGCCAGCCTTCCTGCCTGGTTGTCTTGCTGGGGCATCGAGAGATGGGTTTGTTTTTCTTGGGATATGGGTCAGTTAGACTGGTATTTAATGGTTCTTTTCACAGACTGTTAGTTCAGCTTATTAATTACTTACTTGGTGTCAGCAGTCTTCCTTCCACGGAATATCTGTGAGCGATGTCTGTGAGGACTCATGAGTAACGGAAACAAAGGGAAAATTAAAATACTCTCTCTCAAAAAATAATTTCTCTGTGCATGAAAATGTTGTGGGAATAGGTTTGTTGACCTAAGAATTAGAAGATGTAGCAGTCTGCATATATCTGTAAAATGCACATTGGCATTGCAGTGGGATTCTGGAACAAGAAAATAAATGTGATGAATACGTCTTAGTAGTATTCACCAACCTCTTGTTTCTGATCAAAACAACTCATATCTTTCTTATGGCCATTAGTTGTCAGTGTAGTATGTGGGGAAGGGGGTCAGTGGTGGTGGGTTTTGGGGGCACCAGGCACTGGCTGCTTAAGTGTGGAAAAAAATGAAGCCTTAATTGTCTATTTCTAAAAATAATGAATAAGCCCTGGACAGTTTGGCTCAGCAGTTAGAGCGTCGGCCCGCGGACCAGAGAGGCCCGGGTTCGGTTCCTGCTAAGGGCACGTACTTTGTGTACAGTTGTTCCCAGCCCCAGTTGGGGTGGTGTGGGTGGCAACCACTCCATGTGTCTCTCTCACGTCGATGTTTCTCTCTCTTCTTCCCTCTCTCCCTCCCGCTCTCTCTGGAGATAAATGTCCTCAGTTGAGGATAAAAAAAAAAATAAGAAAATAAGAATAAAAAATAATGAATAATAGATTAAATTATAGTCATTGTTAATAATGGTGCTGATTTTATATACCACCGTGCTTTCCACAAGGACTTGGTAGATATGTAAGGCGGATATCATTACCCCTATATTATAGAGGCGGGAATCAGGGCTCATCAAGGTGCAGCCTGGGGAGCAGACCCTGAGCAGGGGGGCGGGCTGTCCAGTGCAGCCCCCCACCTCCTGGGCAGGTCCGCACTCCAGTGAGGGGAGGCGGGCACAGAGGACAGTGGGAATCGCAAGTCATTATTCTTTGGTGTGGCTGCTGGTAACAGACACCGGAAGCTCAAACAAGGTTAAAGTTTATTTTTTCTAAGGACAAAAAGTATGGAGGTGGCCATCCCGTGTCGGCGTGGCGGGTCCCCCATCATCAGCGTGCCAGGCACCTTCCCTCCCTGCGTCCCCGATCTCAGTGTGTGGCTGCTGCCTTTAAGCTGTGGCACAGTCACCAGATGGGTGCTGGAGTTCCCTCCGTCACTTCTGAGTCTCAAGAGAAACTGGAGAACGAAAAGGTTTCTGCCTCACAGATAGTCCAGCATTTCCCGACCCCTCCACTGCGTCTCACCGGCAACAAAGGCTGGGAAAGGTCGTATTTTACCTCGTCATAAGGCATCAGGGAGAAGGAGAGAAAAAGCAGTAGGACATTTGAGGAAAAACACAAAGTATTAAGGCAAAAGAGTAAAAACTACAGATAGTCTATAGTTAGGGTAACCAGAGTAAGCGGGAGGGTGCACCTGGGGTTAGCCCTCAGTGACAGCCAGCACAGCCCACACACCTGACGTCTCTACGGGGACACGTTAGTGTCAGAACTGAACTCTGGGGCCACAGCGCACGTTAGAGAAGACCTCTCCGGTAGAATAAAGTTCTAAAAGGAAATGAATCATCTGATCATACACAAAATGATTGTTTTCTATCTGAAATTAAATTGCGTTTATATTTACTTCAGTATTCACTCTGATAGCTTTAGAAATACTTAAAGCCGTGGTTTGCGGGACAGTGACTGAATCTCTCTGAGCCTCAGTGTTTGTCATCTTGTCCAACGAGAGCTAATTCTACTGATCCAACCCGGTTGTTAAGAAGATTGAGAGACTAACCCATGTGTAGCCGAGTGCGGGCACCTGCTGGGCAGGACATACGTGGTCACTAGCATTCCGCTAGCCAAGTCAAGCTGGTGGAGGTGCTGCTACCTCCTGTGCTCACGCTGTGCCCCCCCCCCCCCCCCCCCCCCCGTTGCCAGATGCAGGCACCCTCGGAAGCGTGGAGGCGGGCACGCCGGCCTGCGGCATCCTCATGGCTTCTACCTCTCTTCCAGGGCCCAGGACGTCTTCCGCCAGGCAATGCGAGCTCCCTGCGTGCTGCTGCACGTGCTTCCCCCGCGGAACCGCGAGCAGTACGAAAAATCAGTCATCGGACCGCTTAACATTTTTGGTAACAATGATGGTGTTTTGAGAGCAAAGCCCCCGCCTTCTGCACATGGAAAATCGGGAATAAAGACAGCAAATCTCACAGGAACAAGCAGTCCTGAGGAAGACGCATCCACTTCCCTGCAACAAAGCAGGAGCCCCCGGGTCCCAAGAGTCGGTAGAAAGCCGTCCTCTCCCTCGCTCTCCCCTCTCATGGGATTTGGCAGCAAAAAAAATGCAAAGAAAATTAAAATTGACCTTAAGAAAGGTAATTATTAAATTACACTTAATAGCATTCTATTATTGTAAATGTAAAATTGGTTAAGAGAAATGCATTAAGGCTAATTTTGTTAATTCTCCCTTCATTTAATTGTATCAAAGAATAGATTTAAGTGTATACTTAGGTAACAAATTTCTTGAAATTGTAGTACTTTCTTACTAATCTTTTCATCTAGCGAGTGTAGATTATTTGAAACAAGAAAATAATGAAGACATGTTGGGGAATGGAAAGAATCATTACAAACTTGATAGAAACAGCAATACTGTTTCACAACTTAATACTAAACAGGCACTAAAATTCAGTTTTCCCCGTTTTGAGCAAGATTAGTGATTTTTGAAACATCTGTAGGCCAAGCTCAAAAAGCTGTTTCTGGTTCTCTCAGATAGTTTTGGACCAGCAAACAATGTACTTGAAAGAAAGCAAGTATGTGATGATTAGTCATTTCAATAATTCAACTTTGCAAACAATTTTTTTAAAAACACACTTACTTTGAAAGGTATGTATAACCTTTTCTTCATCTTTTTCAATCTTTCTATCCATTTAGATCAGTGAGACCAGGTCATGTGTGTACATCCATATTTGTGCAATATCATCATAAACATGCAAGCATTCATGTACTTCTGTGCCTTTGTTTATTTTGTAACGTCCCTTTCCCCCCTGCAACCTCTGGAATCCTATGTGATTTTCAAGACTCAATTCAAAGGAGCTTAAGATCTTACAGATTCTTATCTAAATTAGTAGATAATTTAATGATCATAAGGTAGTCTTAGAATACTCATTAACTAATATTAAAAGCAAATAACATGTACTTAAATTTTTTTTTCCTTTATCTATTTTAGAGAGAGAGGAAGGGAGAAGGAGAGAGAGATAGAAACATCAATGAGAAGAATATCTATTGGCCGCCTCCTGCACGCCCCCCACTGGGGATTTGGCCCACAACCTGGGCATGTGCCCTGACCAGGAATCAAACCAGCGACCTCTTGGTGCATGGGTTGACGCTCAATCACTGAGTCACAGCAGCTGGGCATAACATCTACTTTTAATAGAGATTATTCTGAAAGATCCTCTGGTCAAAATTTCGTTCCCCTATAAGAATTCTATACTGGGAAGAAAATGTATTAACTAGGAGGCACAAACATTCCAGTGTGCTTAGCAATTAGGCTCTTTTTATATAAATACATAATTTGTATTTTTCATACCAATTATCCAACTATCTATAGATATAGGGTTGAATGCTTTGTGGATAAATGAATCAAAAGCAGAATGTGACCTTAAAAATCCATCAGAAAGCCTTGAATGCAAAAATAAAGAATATGACATCATAGCTGTATTTTGGGAAGATTAATCTGACTGCAAAAGATACACCGAAGAAGACACCAAACAAAAAAAGACCAATAAAGGGTGTTATGTATGCCTTATTAGCTGACTGGATGTAGGAGGGAAGAGAGAGGGGGATTACAGTTATTGCTGAAGGTTTCAGCCAGAGTAGCTTGCAAGAGGGAGATGCCATTGCTAAAAATTAGAATTTCGTGTAGATGAGTATATTTGAAAGGGTTAGGATCTGGATCAGAAAACAGATTCATGGTGAAGGTAAAAAGCTGGTGAAAGTAAAAAAAAAAAAAAAAAAAAAAAAAAGCTGGTGAAAATATGTGCATGGTGATTTCTAGGAAGCTGACACTGAGAGATTAGGGCCAAACAACGACATTTAGTGTCATTTGTAGGGAGAGGGTAGCCTGAGCCAGGAGCTGGACGAAGCAGAGTCAGTCTAGAGGAAACGTTGTTCCAGGACAGGTCCTTGGGGACGTCTGTGTTGCTGTGGGAGAGGTAATGACAGACATGACATGATCAGAAAGGTAGGAAAATCAGAAAAGACAGATACGGAGACCAAGGGGGGAGTTAATTTCAAGAAAAAGATTGGTGAGACGTGTCAACACTAGAGAAGGGGAAAATCAGAAATAGGAAAAAGTACTGAATATGCTCACTGGTAGGTCATTGGTGATGGAAGATTGAAGAAGCAGTAAGATTGAAATAAGGATTCTTTAGGGTAGAGAAATCTGAGCGTACCTTTAGATAGAGTGGAAAAAAAAAATCCTTACAGAGAGAGCTTGGAGATGCAAGCGGACAGGAGCAACAAGAGAGTCAAGAAGAGTGGGGTGCAGCATACAGGGAAGAGACACCGCAGAAGGGACCCCTAGGCCCCTGGAAGGAGTGCCTGATCAAACTCATGTCACATGGAATTTGCTTCTTATGGTTTCCCGAGAAATCAATCTCCTGCATGTATAGACAGCAGGCGGCATTTCTTCTAGGGCCTAAATAAACAAAAGTGCTACACGTCTGCATTTGGCCCTAAATTTACTTTGATCGCATCATAGCCTATCGGGAACTACAATCTGAAACTAGGACAACTGAAGCATGTTTAAAATATTTGCTGGAATACAAATATTTCATGTGTTCTACGAGTCTAAATTAGGTAGAGCTTGGTGTAAGATCGACTGTCATACTATTCCTGCTTAAGGTGACCTTGCATTTTCCTGGTCTTATACTAGGCCCTGAAGGACTTGGTTTCACTGTGGTTACCAGAGACTCTTCCATACATGGGCCTGGTCCCATTTTTGTAAAAAACATTTTACCAAAAGGAGCAGCAATAAAAGATGGCCGCCTGCAATCAGGGGACAGAATTTTGGAGGTAAGAATTGGAATTAATATCTTTAATAAAGTATTTCTTGGTGTTTAAATAAATAAGTATATAAACATATGTTAATATTTATATTTGAATATAATATATTGAAAATTACTACTTAAACATGAGATAAATACTTTAATTGTAAAACTAGTTAACAAGCAGCCTAACTTTGTAAGCCCCAGCAAGGTCAGTGATACGGGAACAAGTAACACTGAAAACTTTGCTTTTCCGTACTTTCATCTCTTAGGGTCCCTGGGGAATTTGGATCAAAACTAAGAGTTCCTTTAATTAGGGGTAAGAATTTCAAAGTTACACCCAAGCCCTGGTAACAATTTCTTTAAACTTCTCTCAAGAATGAGGCGGCCTGTCTCAGGTTGATCTATGCCCATAGAGGAGTATTAGGAATTACCCAATGCGACAGGCTTTTTTTTTTTTTTTTCCTCATTTACTTTTGTTTGATAACATAATCTCCTTGGCTAAATATATATTGTCAACTTACCTGTCAAGAAATCGTCATCATTGAAACTGCCTGGTTGCGTTGAACCTTCGCAGACAGGGAAGCAGCTCTGCACAGCTCTGTCCGCAGTTCCAGAAGGAGCGTGTGCCGAATGAGTTAACGTAGCTGCAGACGAGAATCCCCAGGATCCTATGACCAGAGTTTTCTAAACACGGAGAGCACTGTAGAATAACTAAAGACTCCTGTTTCCACAGGGACGTACTATGTGATAATAGTCCATTTCTGCATCTTGTATTGGGCAGAAAATAGTGCCAGCTCAGCATTTGAAACACACTTCCTTCTTCCTTGAGGAATTATTCTCTGGTGTCTTTCAGTTTGCCTGTCTGCTCGTGACAATGTCAAGTCTTAGGAGAAACTGCTCATGTTAATTCTTGACTGTCTGAGACTACGCAGCCCCATAATTAATGATGGCTGGTGTATTATTGTTATTTTAAACATGGTTGGTTTGGGCCCATGTTCACTATTCGTTATTGCAGATCTTCATTGATCGTGGGGGCCCATCCGCTGCTTACTTTCAAGACCAATTAGGAGGGTAGAAGGAGGTGGCAAGTGTGGTAATCGTAGTTGTTCATGTGACTGTATTCGTTAGGTGAATGGCAGAGACGTCACTGGACGAACTCAGGAAGAGCTCGTGGCCATGCTGCGGAGCACCAAGCAGGGAGAGACGGCATCTCTGGTCATCGCTCGCCAAGAAGGAACGTTTCTGCCCCGAGAGCTGGTAATGAGCTGAATGCACTCAGTAAACCCGAATAGCTGGGCGAGGAGTTCTGTGTCACAGGCGTCACTGTGTATAAGTGAATCCCACCAAGAGCACTGCGCTCCACGTGGAGTATCACACTTTTAGGGCGTTGGTGCAGTGAGTTGGATATAGGCTGACAGAGCGTCTGGTGTACAAATTCAAAGACCCATTTAAGGAAGCAATTTAACGATATTCAACTGAATAAAATATATGTTGAATACATGCTGTGTGGTAGGCCTGATGCAAGACACAATTAGCAAAAATATCTGGGGCCCGACCTTATTGCAGTTTGCAGCCTAAAAGGAAATAAAAATATAACTAGGTATTCAAAATGGTGATGAAGCCCTGGCCGGTTTGGCTCAGCGGTTAGAGCGTCGGCCTGCGGTCCGGAGAGACCCGGGTTCGGTTCCCACTAAGGGCACATACCTCGGTTGCAGTTAGTCCCCGGCCCTGGTGGGTCGTGCGGGTGGCAGCCACTCGATGTGTCCCTTTCACGTCGATGTTTCTCTCTCTCTCTGTTCCTCTCTCTCCCTCCCACTCTACCTGAACAAAAAATGGAAAAATGTCCTCAGGTGAGGATAAAAAAAAAAAAAAAAAAAAATGGTGATGAAGGTGATGGAACAAGACTACTCAGTGCTACAGGAACATACAAGGGAATTGAACCTAGTCTCGAGAGCTGGGAAAGGTAGCTTGAGGAAGAGTTTTTCAAAAATCTTATTAATAATGTATACCCTGCAACCTTGTAACTACACCTCTCTTGCAATATGACCTAAACTAATCAGCAAATATGTGGAAAATCTCATGTACGCTGACTTTTTCCCTAAGTTCTATTTATTGCAGTGATAAATTGGGTGCTGTACAACCTCGGGGTATTGGCTGGATAAACAACTGATGGCTCTCTAATGAAATATAAGTACTTTAAATAGTCTCTGCGAAGGACTGTTAATAACATGAGAAAATGTTCGTAGTCTATTGTTAAGTAAAAGAGGAGGGTATAAAATGATGTATGTAGTATGATCAAATTACTTTTAAAAATCTTTTTTAAAGAGAACTGGATAGTTTGGATTATGAGAGAATTTTATTTTCTCATTTTTTACTATGAACACATTATTTATTTTATTACTGAAATATTTGAGAAGGCTGTAGAATCTTCAAAGGACTTCTATGGCTAATAACAAAGAGAAATAGATATGATAAGAGGATTTTTTATTACCCGTTGGTTTTATTTTATTTCCTTTGAATTTATATAAGAAATGTCAAAGACACATATGGGTAATATAATAGGGTCCCAGAGTCCAATCGTCAGAACAGAGAGGGTTGGCTGAAGAAACTGAGGATAGTTAGCTTGAGAAAGAAAGTTTATGACACATGATCATTGTTATCAGCTATGTGAAGTTATTGTATGGATTAAAAAGTAGTCTTAATCTGTTTCTTCAGATAGCTTATATCCATTACTTTATTTGTGTAGTGATTAACAATTTATTGAGTATTTGCTGTGGACTACATCGAAGGTTCTGGGGGTTCAAAAATAAGACTCATCCTCTGCCCTTCTTGAGTTTGTACCAAAACAAATAGTTGGAAGTGAAAATGCTCCAAGAACGTCCTAAAAATTATAACTGAAGGAAATGGGTTATTTAGAATATTGAAACAGAGCCTGCCTCACCATCTGTCTAAGATGCTCTAAGAAAAAATTATCATATTGATAAGGTGATAAAACTAGGTGACCTTTAAGATACCAACTCTGAGCCTAATAGTCTGTTACATGTGTTTACATGCATGTTTGAATATGTAGCCTTGCTAAAACACCTCTGTCATACATTAATGCTCTTTATCACTGCCAGAGCACCCCCTTTCCTCCACGTTTCAATGCTCTGGAGTTTCCTTTCAATTAGTCCTTCTTATTCCCATCGTCTTATACATTTTCCCCTTTGCCCTGCTGTGTGCTCTGGGAAGAGTGGCAGTGAATGGGGAAAGTGAGGGGTATAAGCCATGAAGACTGCATTCCCTGCCTCCTTTCCTCTACTGACTCTTCCTGGCCAAGCCTGTTGGGAGGCAGAATCTCGAATTTCCATCTTCTCTCCTTGCTGAATCTCCTCACTTTACCTAAAGAGAAATGCTGCAGAAATTTGGAGTCTAGATTTCTTTTTTTTCTCTAAAACTCAGAAGGATTTTTCTTCAATCTTTTTTTTTAAAAAAAAAACCTTATGCGAGGACATTTTTTATTTATCTTCAGATAGAGCGGGAGGGAGAGAGGGAGAAAGAGAGAGAGAGAAACATCAATGTGAGAGAGACACATCGACTGGCTGCCACCCGCACAACCCCAACTCGGGCCAGGGACAAACTGCAGCCAAGGTACGAGCCCCCAGTGGGAACCAAACCAGGTCTCTCTGGTCCGCGGGCTGATGCTCTAACCACTGAGCAAACCAGCCAGGGCTCCTTCAGTCTTTTATTTATCCAAACACCTTAGTCTTTTGTTTTTTTTTTAGAAAGAGAGAGTGGAAAGGAAGAGGGGGGAGAGAGAGAAACATTGATGTGAGAGGGACACATCATTGGTTGCCTCCCACATGACCCCAACCAGGCTTGGGGATCAAACCCACAACCCAGGTACGTGCCCTTGTCTGGATTTGAACCCACCACCCTTTGGTCCTCAGGCTGATGCTCTAACCGCTGAGCCAGACCTGCCAGGACAAACACCTTGGTCTTTTGCTACAAAAGTTAAAGTGAAAAGAAAAATAAACGGAGCAACGTGCGCGCCTGGCGGGCAGGAAGCCCTTTCATGTCTTGTCTACTTCTCTGCTTACCGGAGATCAAAACCCCTAGAAAACCTTGATGGGAGTAGGTGGTGCTTGTTTCAGGCAGAAGAGAACAAGGAAAGAAGTTTCATCTGTGTATTGTGTTGAGCCAGGGTCCTAAAAGGAGTAAAACCCTGCATAGAAAGAGAAACATTCCGCTCGCCCCTCTGCACGCGAAAGAAACGGATGGCGGAGCGCCAGCCGGCAGCGCCGCCCCCACGCCCCCCGCGGGTTCCATCTGACGGTCAGTAGGCCTCTCCACGGTTCTCTCCCACTCCCCCGCCACCGGGTCCCTCCTGGAAGCTCTCCCCTCCCCCAGGCAGGCGGGAAAGGGTGTGGGTCGCATCCCAGTGTGACACTCTGAGTACATTTTCAAACACAATTACATGCGGAAGGTAGCAAATGGAATAGTAGAATTTTCAGACTAAAGGGAGCTGGAAGAATCTGGGAGTCCAACTCTGATTTTGCAATTGAGCAAACAGAGGTTCCCTGTGGTTGAGTCACCTGCCCGGGGTCTCACAAGGAGCAGGAATGAGAGGCCTAAGTTCCTTAACACTTAGTGTCATCTCTGGAGTTCAACTCCCTGTCCTCGCTTCTGTAGTCACCACTTATTGTGTGATCTAGAGCAGGCCACAGCATCGTTCTGAGGCTCAGTTTCCTCATCTGTACCCTAAGATTTTGTGAGGATTAAGAAATAATACATACAAAGCCTTTAGCACAGTTTCTGGCTAAGTGTAAGTTGCCGAGATATGTGAGCTGTAATTATATCTTCTAGTGTATTACCACTTCTGTAGTACTGTACACATAATACACTGCTTTAGAGTCATTATGGGGTAAATAAATTTATGCAGTTTTGTCTGGGATTAACCAATATTTCAAACATTAATGGGTTTCTTTTTTATTATTTTAGAATGTATTTTTGGTATCCAGAATACGGAATTGCAAACAACTTTTATGACCAACCAAGTCTATAATTCAGGACAGCCTGTATATATTATTTCATTTTCATTTAATAGAATTTAGCAAAATTTGATTTCTGTCCCAGAAAGTGACATCATGGGCTGAGCCCACCAGAGAACATATTAAATTAATTGTGCAACGATGAGATTGAGTGCAAATAAATTATTTGTTCTCATTGTTTTTAGTTTTATACAAAATTTGGAGGGCATATGGTTAGTATCCATTCTCTTAGAATTCCCTGGCAAACCATCTCGACTCTTTACAAAATATTTGACTTCTAACTATCCAAGTATGTAGAATATTCTTTGTAACCACAGCAAAGCAAGGGCCTTTGAGGCTTACAAACACCTAAGTAATGTGGACCCAGAACCTTTGTTTTAGAGAAATATGGGGTAGTATTCTCCTTCCAGCCCAAATGCCTGCCTCGAGGTGCTAAGTAGCATGAACCATAAAGCAAGTTTAAAGAGAGGTCAGGCTGCACATGCCCGGGAGTATTTCAATGGGAATTACTTTATAGTGTGGCATGCACTGGACTATTTGAAAGAGTAATTGAAGATGGTATCTCTTCGGTCTCTTCTCCCTTATGTGATTGATGCACACACTTGACTTTCATTGAAAATCTGGCAGGATGAAGGAAGGACAGCACTTCCTGCTTTTGTCTTGTTCTATCTCCTTTGAAGACAACAAACTGTGTTTATTGTTCTCTGTTCTGAGAAACGGTGCTCTCCCTTTTGTTGAGCCTTGCTACTTCAGAAGCTCTGAACCCTCTTAACAGCACAGCGCTGCCTGTTTTCTGACAGTGAAATCTTCCTCGCTTCCTTGTTATCACTAGCTTATTGTGAAATCTTAGCACTCACAGCCGAGGGGCCATGTGGTCAGCAGTTATACAGGAAGGCCCAATATAGGATGCCTTTCGGATGTGACCCTCTGTCACTCCAAAGGCCTCAGTATCCGTTTCCTGGTCATTTCTCCTGCCTGCCACCGAAGAGAAGCTGAATGCTTCTGTGTGCTGGGCCTTGTCCTCTTTCCTGAGCAGTTGGTTAGTGTCGCAAACTTAGCAGCACATGTAACCAACCGTCCTTCCATCTGTGGCAAGCTGGGCTGAAAATCAAATGAGAGAAATTTATGTAATGACATTACAACTGTTTAGCTCTTCCTAGCATCTTTACCAAAAGAACTACCTGTGTGTCAAGGGTACTTCTTCCAGAATCCCAGTCTGAAAAATCC